GAGAAATTGACAAAGAGGACAGAGACGGGATGTTCCAGAGATGGGACACAGCAACAAGGAAGTTGAAGACTTAGATGAATCACAGGGATGTTAGGAAATATTTCTTCAGTCACAGAGTTGCCAGGAAGTGGAATAGTCTGGGAAAGTGATGTAGTGGGGGCAGGATCCATACATAACTTTAAGTAGAGATATGATAAAGCTCATGAAGCAGGAAGAGTAACGTAGTAGCGACAAGCGAAGAGGAGGGGCCAGGAGCTATGATTCGACCCCTGCAACCGCAACTATGTGATTACAGAGGACAGAACTTTAGTATGTATTAAGCAGATGAAAGCATGTAAGGAACTGACATCGAAGGCTGACTCTAGGAATTACGTAAACTAACCTGGAGCCCCTACCCCTCCCTTTCCTTATTCTGGTTGACTAGTTCAAATGGTAGTTACCTCTGTATGTAAATGGAAGTCCATACACTCGTAGCAGCAATAAACTACCAGGATTTTACGGATTTTACAACATAGCCAAGCCCCTTGCCAGGAAACTTCTTCAGCGTTATCCTACATAACAAACCTACTGGCCCATGTCGGGCAGGTCCTCCATAAATCCTGATGATAAATTAGACACAAGTGCGACTCTTGGGTATCTTTATTGAGGAAACGTTTCGCCACACAGTGGCTTCATCAGTCCATACCAAGGAGATTGATGGACTGACCACATCGACTCAAGGTTGAGGGACAGATTACCTCATTCTTCTGTTCTTCACGATTCTCCTTTGTATGGACTGATGAAGCCACTGTGTGGCGAAACGTTTCCTCAATAAAGATACCCAAGAGTTGCACATGTGTCTAATTTATCAACGTGCCGGTTCTATGAACCATTCATCTACAACCCTTAAATCCTACCTCTTCTCAGTAATCAATTTCAACATTCCTCACCTGACCCTTCACGTCACTCATGTACTCTCTGCTCTGGCAGATTTGTTTGTGACTCGATAAAGCCCACTTTGTGGGCGAAAAGTTGTCAATAAAGGATCGCATTATACTGCACGATGTGTTGTTACATGTGATGCGCGCCGAATAATAACGTACTTGGTGCACGCAACATTTACTGTGTCCCCCAGATTTCTGATTTACATTTAAAAAAATCCATCCCGCAATCACACTGATTTATATTTATCATATATAAAGAACAAAAAGGCACAATACCGTGACTAGAACAATACACAAATAACCTGCACACAGGAGACTTTGTAAATTATCCTAGTCGGACCGAAAACGTCGTCGTAAGCTCCTCTGCTCTCTTGTGTGGGTTATTTGTGTATATTTCCAACAGATCTCACAATTTAAAATTCTAATCCAAATACAAAATATAGCTCCCGAGCGCTGCTATTTCTGCTGTTTGAATGATTAAGCTGCCAAAAAAAAAAATATTACGGTCGGATTGAGCCGATAAACTGACGTGAATTTCTGGTGACAGGTTCAGCTGCCTTGGCCTTCACTTTCGCTCCAGCCTTATTGATACCTTCAGAAACTCTGGTATGAGCTACCGGTATGACGATGAAAGATATATTGATGCGAGCCTTAAGCTGCTAGGCCAAAGTGCTGGGTATTATACGCCATCGTGAATGCGTGTTATAACCGACTAGGACGGCTCATATTAATACACTTATCTGTCCAGAACCCCCAGTTTGTGTCTGACATAGACAGTACCTTACAAGCACATCCAAGCTTCTATCAGCACCAAGAGTACCTTCCTAGCATTCTCAAGGACATTCAGTACTTCCCAGTACCGCCGGTACTTCCCCAGTATCGCCGGTACTGGGCAAGTACCTCACCAGTACCCAAGGACACGAGACAGAAAAATATTTTAAAATATTGAAACGATGGAAATGCATAAAAATGCAGTACAATGCGATCCTTTATTGACGATGTTTCGCACACGTAGTGAGCTTTATTGAGTCATAAAGCATAGGTAAAACGTCGTCAATAAAAAAAAACGCATTATGCTGTATTCGTCTCAGAACCCAGTATCTGTCCAGCACTTTCAAGAGCTTTCCAGTGCCTGCCCAACACCCTGAAGTACACCCAGTACCCACAGTTCCTGCCCAATAGCCCCCAAACTCTCCCCAGTATACAGCGCTGGATCTTAGTTTAACATACAAACCAACACACAGCGCTGGTTATTACGTCAGCATACACACCAGTACACAGCACTGGGTATTACATCAACATACACACCAGTACACAGCGCTGGGTATTACGTCAACATACAAACAAGTACACAGCGCTGGTTATTACGTCAACATACACACCAGTACACAGAGCTGGTTATTACGTCAACATACACACCAGTACACAGAGCTGGGTATTACATCAACATACACACCAGTACACAGCGCTGGTTATTACGTCAACATACACACCAGTACACAGAGCTGGTTATTACGTCAACATACACACCAGTACACAGAGCTGGGTATTACATCAACATACACACCAGTACACAGCGCTGGTTATTACGTCAACATACACACCAGTACACAGAGCTGGTTATTACGTCAACATACACACCAGTACACAGCGCAGGGTATTACATCAACATACACACCAGTACACAGCGCTGGGTATTACATCAACATACACACCAGTACACAGAGCTGGGTATTACATCAACATACACACCAGTACACAGCGCTGGGTATTACGTCAACATACACACCAGTACACAGAGCTGGTTATTACATCAACATACACACCAGTACACAGCGCTGGGTATTACATCAACATACACACCAGTACACAGCGCTGGGTATTACATCAACATACACACCAGTACACAGCGCTGGGTATTACATCAACATACACACCAGTACACAGAGCTGGGTATTACATCAACATACACACCAGTACACAGCGCAGGGTATTACATCAACATACACACCAGTACACAGCGCTGGGTATTACATCAACATACACACCAGTACACAGAGCTGGTTATAACGTCAACATACACACCAGTACACAGAGCTGGTTATTACGTCAACATACACACCAGTACACAGAGCTGGTTATTACGTCAACATACACACCAGTACACAGAGCTGGTTATTACGTCAACATACACACCAGTACACAGAGCTGGTTATTACGTCAACATACACACCAGTACACAGAGCTGGTTATTACGTCAACATACACCACCACTACTGGTGTGAACCGATCAATTCCCTGTGGCATGTGTCGCCTGGTAAACCTCTCTTCTACGATACAAAGGTTACTCATGAATTTATCAACGCAATCGTGATCTAACCACTTCACACTGCCCCCTACTAGCCACTACCCATCCCCCCCCTACTCTTCAGGAGCGTCTGCAACACACTCCCCTTACCCCGAAAAAAAAGTGTCTTCACTCCTGCGTCCAGGACGTCCCTTTCCTTTCCCCTCCCGAGCGACTATGAGCTATAGATTTATTCATCTGCTTGAAGCCGGGAGGCCTGACTGACGTCACTGGTTCCGTCCACTGACAGGAAAAGTTTTGGCTTCCGGCTCAGAACTTCCTGGTTCCTGGTCACTCAACCGATAAATTAGACACACGTACAACACTTGGGTATCTTTTATTATGGAAACGTTTTGCCACACAGAGGCTTCCTCAGTCCAATACAAAGAACAATGGTGAAGATCAGAAGGGGTTTGGGGTAACCAGTACATTAATCTTATTATTATCATAACTGATAAACTGATTATATCGACTCCAGCCTTGGGGACTGATTACCTCAAACTCATTCTGATCTTCACCATTTTTCTTTGCATTAAACTGATGAAGGAACTGTGTGGCGAAAAGTTTCCACAATAAAGATACCCAAGTGTCGCACATGTGTCTAATTTACCAACTTGTGGGTTTTCTGAACAATATATCTAAACTCGGCCAACTATTTGATATTATTATATTCCCAGCTTAGTCTCAAGAAAGTCATAGCTCCTGGTTGTCAATCAAATATTTCATAGGGTTCTACTTGAAAATTTCAAAAAAGGACATATCACAGAATGAGTAGGGTTCGAACCCACGGCAAAATGGTCCAGAAACTATTATGCCAGTATGTGTTATCCACTACAATGCTAGTCTAATAAGATTCATCTAACTAGGAATATCTATATACCATAGGAAGGTTAGCATGGGCCACCACTCTGACTATGATTACAGGATTAAAAACACAAATCTCACACCAACATACTGCGGCGTGCTCTAGCGCAAGGCCCTTCAAAACCGCTCTCATGCATCACGACGTCGAAATAACACTATTAATTGTGTTATGCGAGTTCGTGAGTCAGGATAGGATAAACTTGCTAATGCAGGACTGTGGAAAAATCCTATAAGGAGTGTGAGCTCAGATGATGTGTAATTAATAAAGTAATGGAGGTCTTGGAGTGTTGTATGGTGAGGGTGGTGATGCTGGAGTGTTGTATGGTGATGGTGGTGATGCTGGAGTGTTGTATGGTGATGGTGGTGATGCTGGAGTGTTGTATGGTGAGGGTGATGATGCTGGAGTGTTGTATGGTGAGGGTGATGATGCTGGAGTGTTGTATATGAGGGCAGTGATGCCGGAGTGGTGCTGAAAGGTTGTATGGTGAAGGTGATGCTGGAGTGTTGTATGGTGAGGGTGGTGGTGCTGGAGGGTTGTATGGTGAGGGTGGTGATGCGGGAGTGTTGTATGTGACGGTGGTGATGCTGGAGTGTTGTGACGGTGATGATGCTGGAGGGTTGTATGGTGAGTGGTGCTGGAGGGTTGTATGGTGAGTGGTGGTGGTGCTGCAGGGTTGTATGGTGAAAGTGGTGGTGCTGGAGGGTTGTATGGTGAGTGGTAGTGCTGGAGGGTTGTATGGTGAGAGTGGTAGTGCTGGAGGGTTGTATAGTGAGTGGTGCTGGAATGGTGCTGGAGGGTCGTATGGTGAGAGTGGTGGTGCTGGAGTGGTGCTGGAGGGTTGTATGGTGAGAGTGGTGGTGCTGGAATGGTGCTGGAGGGTTGTATGGTGAGTGGTGGTGCTGGAGTGGTGCTGGAGGGCGCCTGCGTCAAGCATCCAGGAGAGGGCGGCCAAGTGGACGTCATCTCCTGCCGACCAGTTGCCCTCCCGCTACTGCACCGCACCAGCTGCCGCCACCCGCTGCCGCACAGTACCAGCTGCTGCCACCCGCTGCTGCACCGTACCAGCTGCTGCCATCCGCTAGCCATGGGGATCGACGCAATGGTGAGTGTACACACTGCCCACCATCATCATTCCTCCTGATCGCTGCCGACCGCCACCCACCCTTCCACACCACGCCAGCAACACTATTAATAATTCTATAATTTTTTTTAAGGTAGTGAATATTACTAAGTACAATGATGAAAGTGTTATAATGTGGTGTCAACTCTATATACACAAGTGTCCGGTCATTATTACCCTACGTTCACTAAATTCTATAGCACTGTGTTAACTCACCTTTATCTGAGGGGTACTACTACACGTAGGCTGCCACACACAGTAGTAGACTACCAGTCGGGTATACCTATCTATAGCTAGGTGAACAGGGGCAACAGGTGTAAGGAGACTTGACTAAACGTTTCACCTCTCCCGAGATTGAACCCGGCTCGCTCGGTTGTCAGTTGAAAACTGTAACACTGAACTAGGAGTGACTCCTGTAAAAATGTTCCTGCCCTCTTGTGCCGTTGTTGGCTGCCTACAGTGTCACTCAAGAGGCACACTGCTTCCCGTCACTTGCAAAGTTCAGATCAACAACAACAACACAGTAACGACAACACCAACAACAGACTACTAATGATACAACAGTTGCAACAACAACACAACAAAAATACTAATGATACAGCAGATACTGCAACATCAACTAGAAGAAGAAGAAGAAGAAGAAGAAGAAGAAGAAGAAGAAGAAGAAGAAGAAGAAGAAGAAGAAGAAGAAGAAGAAGAAGAAGAAGAAGAAGAAGAAGAAGAAGAATCTGTATCCCAAATCAGTCACCCACTACTAGACAGCACATTATAACATAACAAAATATAGGTATGGGATAGATTTAAGACTGCTGTGCTACAGCGCAGCAGAAGTTTGTGTAAGAGGGCGAGTGCTGGTGCGAGGAGAAATGATTGGTGGAATGATGAGGTCATACGAGGTTTTTTACAATGTAAAAATGCGTGACCGGAAAGATGACTGACGGACACTTGGCCGACAGACATTTCACCGACGGACATTTGGCTGAGCAGACATTTCACCGACGGACATTTGGCTGAACAGACATTTCACCGACGGACATTTACGAAAACTAGGTAAAGTAATGAATACTATTTCGTCTGTTCGATCAAATGTCGGTCGGCCATCTGTCCAGGAGCCGTAAAAATGATGTAGGGAAGGCAGAATATACGAAGATGAGAGGTTAAACAGTGTGAAAGATGAGTCAATAAGAATAAGAAATACTCTAGGAGAAAGATTAATAACATGAAAATACCTGGAGAGTAAACAGACTAGGTATTTAAAAACCAAAGAATGGAAATGTTAGATGGGCAAGTGGAGGTAGTGGAAAGATGGAGGGAATATTTTGAGACGTTACTTAATGATGATAATGAAAGGCAGTGGTATCATCATATGCAGCTGGGACAGATGGGATTAAGATCGCAGTGGTAAGAGAAGATGGATATATCGAGTAGTTGATGTGTTTGTTCAATATATGAAAGAAAGTACATAAGGATTAACAGAGGACAAATATAGTAAAAACAAAAGCACTTTGTTAATTGGCAGTGTAAACAGACAGCAAGGATGAGTGAGGTCCTACTTATTGACTGGTTAAGAATTATTTCATTCCTTCAGTCAAAATGTACCTGCACAACAAGAACTTTTCACTAGTAAGTTTATTTAGGTACAGGTACACATGAGTATAATTATCATACTAGTTTAACGTGTGTAAATTACCTAGGATAACAAAAAAAAAGCCACACAATAGTGACTTGATTCTATTGGGATCCTTCAAGGTTCTCTCCACTCTTGATAACTCCCGCAGTCATCCTCAGGTCTTACAGTATGTGGACCTAAATGTCAGGGTAGTGTTTTTACCACTAAATACAACATCTTCGATACAACCAATGTATTTAGGAGTGACTGAGACATCCAGGTACCACTATACACGCAGGCTGGTGCAGAAACTCCTCGCAGTAATAGATGACAACTCACACACAGGAATGCCAGAATTCTGGCATAACTTTAACAATACAAATATACTGAAGTAGGTAAAGTTAGGTAAGAGAACACAGATGAACTAATGCAACTAAATGCAAGCTGGAGAAAATTATGGCCTAGTGTGGTGAATACTCTCACTAGTTTTCCCTCAAAATTCAGTCAGGTCCAGGAAATTGTGGATCCGGCAAGGAGAGTGCCAGGTGAGGGCTTTGAAAATATGCAAACAGAAGACGTGAGCTCTTAGATGATGACGAAGAACCACTGAAGAAATGTTGGAGGAGCTCAATTCCCAAATAAATAACACAAAAAGATAAGGAAAAACATCAATCTACTCAAATGAAACTGAGACATATGAGAGATGCAACATATTACTGCTAAAGCTGATTTTTTTGGATATAAAAAGACCCTGACAAATCTGGAATTATTGCTGACTCACGTAATGATGCTTTATCGTCACCTGTATGAAGTACCGCAGAGTGAAAGAGGAGACACAGTACTGATCACTCCAGTACAAGCATCGAGTAACGCTGCATCGACATCAACACAAGACAGCCAACCATCAGCATCAACCCAACAACCACAACCGTTTACCTCGGCCCAGTGAAGCCACAGCCATCCTCTCCAAGATTATTATGCACCAGCAACCAGACTTGAAGAAAATATTGACGTACTTTCGTAGTGACATGTAAACATTTTTTATCACTGTCTAATTTCACCACGATACAGGTACTGTACAAGGCAACATCAGCTAAAATGTTTGGTAAGAAAAACTATTATTTCGGAAGAATTGAGAAATTAAAAATACTTGCATTTTAGAGGTGTTAAGAATGTAACCTTATCTTCCTAGCATGTTCATCATAAGAAGTGCCGATTTCCGGGAACCTAATATTTTTATTTTAATTTTATTATCACACCGGCCGATTCCCACCAAGGCAGGGTGGCCCGAAAAAGAAAAACTTTCACCATCATTCACTCCATCACTGTCTTGCCAGAAGGGTGCTTTACACTACAGTTTTTAAACTGCAACATTAACACCCCTCCTTCAGAGTGCAGGCACTGTACTTCCCATCTCCAGGACTCAAGTCCGGCCTGCCGGTTTCCCTGAATCCCTTCATAAATGTTACTTTGCTCACACTCCAACAGCACGTCAAGTATTAAAACCATTTGTCTCCATTCACTCCTATCAAACACGCTCAAGCATGCCTGCTGGAAGTCCAAGCCCCTCGCACACAAAAACCTCCTTTACCCCCTCCCTCCAACCCTTCCTAGGCCGACCCCTACCCCCGCCTTCCTTCCACTACAGACTGATACACTCTTGAAGTCATTCTGTTTCGCTCCATTCTCTCTACATGTCCGAACCACCTCAACAACCCTTCCTCAGCCCTCTGGACAACAGTTTTGGTAATCCCGCCCCTCCTCCTAACTTCCAAACTACGAATTCTCTGCATTATATTCACACCACACATTGCCCTCAGACATGACATCTCCACTGCCTCCAGCCTTCTCCTCGCTGCAACATTCATCACCCACGCTTCACACCCATATAAGAGCGTTGGTAAAACTATACTCTCATACATTCCCCTCTTTGCCTCCAAGGACAAAGTTCTTTGTCTCCACAGACTCCTAAGTGCACCACTCACTCTTTTTCCCTCATCAATTCTATGATTCACCTCATCTTTCATAGACCCATCCGCTGACACGTCCACTCCCAAATATCTGAATACGTTCACCTCCTCCATACTCTCCCTCCAATCTGATATTCAATCTTTCATCACCTAATCTTTTTGTTATCCTCATAACCTTACTCTTTCCTGTATTCACCTTTAATTTTCTTCTTTTGCACACCCTACCAAATTCATCCACCAATCTCTGCAACTTCTCTTCAGAATCTCCCAAGAGCACCGTGTCATCAGCAAAGAGCAGCTGTGACAACTCCCACTTTGTGTGTGATTCTTTATCTTTTAACTCCACGCCTCTTGCCAAGACCCTCGCATTTACTTCTCTTACAACCCCATCTATAAATATATTAAACAACCACGGTGACATCACACATCCTGTCTAAGCCTACTTTTACTGGGAAAAAATTTCCCTCTTTCCTACATACTCTAACTTGAGCCTCACTATCCTCGTAAAAACTCTTCACTGCTTTCAGTAACCTACCTCCTACACCATACACTTGCAACATCTGCCACATTGCCCCCCTATCCACCCTGTCATACGCCTTTTCCAAATCCATAAATGCCACAAAGACCTCTTTAGCCTTATCTAAATACTGTTCACTTATATGTTTCACTGTAAACACCTGGTCCACACACCCCCTACCTTTCCTAAAGCCTCCTTGTTCATCTGCTATCCTATTCTCCGTCTTACTCTTAATTCTTTCAATTATAACTCTACCATACACTTTACCAGGTACACTCAACAGACTTATCCCCTATAATTTTTGCACTCTCTTTTATCCCCTTTGCCTTTATACAAAAGGAACTATGCATGCTCTCTGCCAATCCCTAGGTACCTTACCCTCTTCCATACATTTATTAAAACAATTGCACCAACCACTCCAAAACTATATCCCCACCTGCTTTTAACATTTCTATCTTTATCCCATCAATCCCGGCTGCCTTACCCCTTTCATTTTACCTACTGCCTCACGAACTTCCCCCACACTCACAACTGGCTCTTCCTCACTCCTACAAGATGTTATTCCTCCTTGCCCTATACACGAAATCACAGCTTCCCTATCTTCATCAACATTTAACAATTCCTCAAAATATTCCTTCCATCTTCCCAATACCTCTAACTCTCCATTTAATAACTCTCCTCTCCTATTTTTAACTGACAAATCCATTTGTTCTCTAGGCTTTCTTAACTTGTTAATCTCACTCCAAAACTTTTTCTTATTTTCAATATATATATATATATTATATATATAATTATATATATATATATATATATATATATATACACAGTGGACCCCCGGTTTACGATCAGCTCCAAATGCGACCAGTTATGTAAGTGTATTTATGTA